CATCGCCCCCCTGTGCGTCTCGTTGAGACCTTTCCGGAAAGTGCTCGCACGCTGAAAACGGACACTCCTAGCAAAAGTTATGCCCAAAACAGCGTAATCACCACGCTAAAAGGTTAACGTTGAGGGCAAACATGCCCAAGACCGATATGGTGTGTCTTCGACCCCATGTATTACCATTTCGACCACTAAAATTGCGCATCACGGGATCGATCATACAAGCACTAATGCACCGGATCCCATCAGTACTCTAAAGTTAAGTTTGTTGCTTAAACTATGAGCAATACCGGCGGATTAGGAATAAGAACATCATGCGCGCAACACTTGATGGGTGCGATCATACCTGAACTAATGCACCGGATCCCATCAAAACTCTGAAGTTAAGCGTGCTTGGGCGAGAGTAGTACTAGGAAGGGTGACCCCCTGGGAAGTCCATGTGTTGCACCCCTTTTTGTTCTTTTCATCATTTTTTTGCAAGTTATGTGCTTGATTCTTTTAAAAACCGTCTAGCGAGCACAAAGGGTTGCGTGAACTTCCAAAGTGCGTCGGGAAGCCACACAAAACAAGGGTGGCCGAAACCCAAAACGAACAGAAGTCAAAACGGGCCAAGGAAATGAGAAATAAATGGGCTGAACATAAAATAGGCCACAGGCCCGGAAACGAGCAAAATTGAGGTCAAAATTGAGCCCTGATTGGTCTCCGACCCATCGTCCCCCTGTGCGTCTCGTTGAGACCTTTCTGGAAAGTGCTCGCACGCTGAAAACGGACACTCCTAGCAAAAGTTATGCCCAAAACAGCGTAATCACCACACTACAAGGTTAACGTTGAGGGGAAACATGCCCAAGACCGATAGGGTGTGTCTTCGACCCCGTGTATTACCATTTCGACCACTAAAATTGCGCATCATGGGATCGATCATACAAGCACTAATGCACCGGATCTCATCAGTACTCTAAAGTTAAGTTTGTTGCTTAAACTATGAGCAATACCGGCGGATTAGGAATAAGAACATCATGTGCGCAACACTTGATCTATGCGATCATACCAGCACTAATGCACCGGATCCCATCAAAACTCTGAAGTTAAGCGTGCTTGGGCGAGAGTAGTACTAGGAAGGGTGACCCCCTGGGAAGTCCTCGTGTTGCACCCCTTTTTGTTCTTTTCATCATTTTTTTGCAAGTTATGTGCTTGATTCTTTTAAAATAGGCCACAGGCCCGGAAACGAGCGAAATTGAGGTCACAATTGAGCCCCGATGGGTCTCCGACGCATCGCCCCCCTGTGCGTCTCGTTGAGACCTTTCCGGAAAGTGCTCGCACGCTGAAAACGGACACTCCTAGCAAAAGTT